GAATATCACAGACCGGATCGAGGCGACACAATAGCGTCTTTCCTAACGAGGCACGCTCCTAATTTCCCGAGCTGGCTGAAGATCGTGTGTACGGTGAGGACACAGCTGTTGGAATGCGCTAAGCAACTACCCTACACAAGGATCTCGTTGGACAAAGCGAGTAACGATTGCACCGGAGGCAACGTGACGAAGGATCTATCCGACTACATCGGATACAGAATGGCTCACAGTCCAGCGATCCAGACGAACGTGACGGCGTCAGTGAACGGAAAAGCAGAATCGTCTTGTAGCGCGAATCAAACGAGATTCGCCTCGCACCTGCTCGCGCTAGCCAAAGGCAGCTTCCTATTCGCGAAGCTGACGCTCGACCTCATCGAGAGCGGCCATTTGGTAGCCAAGTCAGCGAGTTACAAGGTGAGACTCACTTCCGAGCTGTAATTTTCATTCTAGGTAAATACGATTCTATTCTTCTAACGATAAATTGGTTCCAGGTGCTGCCAGTTTCGTTAGCGCAGATCTTCCAACTGCACTTCAATCTCAGGTTCCCCACGTCGATGTCCTTCGACAAGGTTCAACCTCTATTAGGCGTTTGCTTGGCCGCTCTATATCCTCTGACTCTACCAGAAATCTTCTACTCTGTCAACTCTCTGAACACGGACGACTTCGTTTCATGGGAGGATTTTCTACAGAGATTCAAAGTAAGTACCTGACGAAGTTCTCTTGAAAGATATTTGTAATCGATTGCGCGATTTTTTATTCCTGCTATCGTTTGGATCACGTAAGTCTCTCAAACAAATTAAGTAATCAGGCATTTTATGTATTTGAAATTTTATTCGACGTATATACAACATAAAATTCGTTGTCTGATTGTTAGATGCTCTCTGGATTTCTCGTGAAACGCCTAGACAACACATATATGTTCTTCCACCCGTCGTTCAGGGAATGGTTGATGAGAAGAGACGAGGGTGAGTCGACGAAGTTCCTCTGCGATCTGAGGCTCGGCCACGCTGCGATCGCGTACAGGCTGTCTCGGCTTCAGGCACCGTTGGACGGTGACAAGGCCCTTGAACTGGGCCATCATATACTCAAGGCGCACGTTTACAGAGGCGTCGCTCCGTGCTGGCCTTCGCGTGATTTACAGGTAATTTATTCTCGATTTCATTAATTGCTTTCATCCAAAAACAGAGTAGACTTCCACATAACGTGTGTTATTTCACCGCGAATTCCTATAATGCATCATTGGCATTGCGACTACTATTATTATATAACGCGATTCTTCGTATAACATAAATCATAAAACGTATGAATTATTTAATTTGGAACTTAAATATATTTTAGTTTAACATTAGATTGTTCTCTTCGTCATTTTCTAATCTGTGATTCAACTTATCAGTAGACTAGACTGTTATAAATGTTTTACAGGCGATCTGGTTAGCGTCGTCAACGGAATGCGTTTCCTCCGCGCTGTGCACGTTGCGGAATATTTACAGCCCGAACGTAAAGGTTTCGAGATTGCTTTTGCTGGCAGGAGCATCCCCGAACCACGTGACTGAGTACCTGGGCAACGCTCCGGCGCTTTGCATGTACGCTCACGAGGGTTCCGTCGAGATGGTGTCGTTGTTATTAGAGTTTGGAGCTAACGTCGAATTGACGAATAGTCAAGGATACACGGCACTCTCTTTGGCGGCTGCGCGTGGTCATTGTGACGTTGTCAGGAGGTAAGATGAAGCTGATTAAACGGATATTCCTCTGAGCAATTTAATGTCACACAATTCAACAAAAAGTAGTTTTTAATTTTTTGCAATATTCACTACGTGATTCTTATAAAATTTCTCAAAATCATGCATTTTTACAAAAACCGCTATTTTTCAAAAATGGTACGTGATGGAGAATTTCTGGAGAGTTTTGGGAATGAGAATCTTTATAAGAATCGCGCTATGGATATTGTAAAAGAAATTTTTGTTGTACAGTGTTGTCAATTATCTCCTTTTTTATTTAAATATATAAATAAATATTTAGATTGGCCGCTGCTGGAGCTTCGTTAGGCCACACGGATATGGCTGGGCAATGTCCTTTGGTTCACGCAGCCAGGCATGGAAGACTGTCGGTAGTCGGTTATTTATTAGCCTGCGACTGGGTTGTCCCAACGAACGAAAGCGAGTTGGAAGGGTCCCAGGAAATTGGTAGAGAAGAAGCCGCGCAGCAAGCCGTCGTCGCAGCAGCCGCGCAAGGCCACGAGTCTATCGTGGAATATTTATTAGACATGGCAGAGGTGATCGTGGACCGCCCGGACACGCTGATTGGCGAGACCGCGTTGACCATCGCGGCTGCGAACGGTTCCACAGCTACTGTCTCGGCGCTGTTGGCTCGAGGAGCCAGGCCAACGGCTGTGAACGCGAAGGGTTTGACTCCTCTGATGTTGGCCGCGAGGGAAGGACACTGGGGAACCGCTGAGAGACTCCTACAAGGTCAGCACTAAGCAATTTTTATTAGAGTTCTCAATAAAAAAATTAAATAAACATTTATTAATTCAAGATTCCGATCAATAAATATGTTGAAGACATTTTTATAATAAATAATATCTTTCAGTGTCCCACAGAAAATTATATTATTTCGTCTAATATTAAAAAAAATTATTCTGGTTTAAATAATATTCGACGAATTTCGCGAGTCATTGAATGTATATTAAATTTTATAGAAGGATTATTTTATGATGAGGTTTAAATATTATTGTAGGAACTCTCTCGAGCAGCACTGACACCGTTCTGGACGATGCTGCTTCCCTTCTGGATCAACGAGACTCGGCAGGACGCACCGCACTAATGTTAGCCGCTTCGGAAGGTCACACAAACCTGATCGAACTGTTTCTCGATAAAGGATCAGTATTAGAGAGCAAGGATAAAGAAGGGTTGACTGCACTCTGTTGGGCCTGTGTTAGGGGCAGATTAGCTGCCGTGCAAAATCTGATTGATCACGGGGCTGATGTCAACGCTAATGATAATACCGGAAGGACTCCTCTTGATCTAGCTGCCTTCCAGGTACAATTCTTTAAAATCTTAATATTCGAAATAAATTCGAATCTAATGAACTTAATTAATTTATTTAAAATCGATTTTAGGGCAACCCGAAATTGGTACAATTGTTGCTCGAAAAAGGATCAGCGGTGGAGCACGTGGACCTCCACGGGATGCGGCCCTTGGACCGGGCGATCGGCTGTCGAAACATACCGGTGGTACAGTGTTTCCTCCGTCGCGGGGCAAAACTGGGCCCGGCGACTTGGGCCATGGCCTCCGGAAAACCAGACGTCCTTTTAATTCTGTTAAACAAACTCCTGGAAGACGGGAACGTGCTGTATCGGAAGAACAGGCTGAAGGAAGCGTCGCATCGGTACGCGTACGCCCTCCGGAAGTTCCCCGCGTCACCGGAAGAAGACTGCCAAGGACAGGAGCAGAGCCACGTGATGTTGCAGCTGCAGACGTTCGCGCAACTTCGGCTGAATTTCTTGCTCAATCTCAGTCGATGCAAGCGCAAAATGAATGTGAGTGCTCCGTTTTTTTACATCAATCATATAGAAGATTTATTATTAAACTGCATTTTTTTATGCAAAGTAAAATACTAATTTAAGAAATGATAGTTAGTAAGTCCTTTAAACATTTTCCATCGATACTTTATGCACTTTCTTTCTGAAATGTGCGGAAGCAATCGAGCTCGCTGACGAAGCTTTGAAAGTTCGCCCAGTGTCGTACGAGGCGTTTTACGCGAGGGCGAAGGCGCGGATCGATTTAGGATTATTGGAGGACGCCTTATCCGACGTGCAAGAAGCGTTGCAGATGGCACCGGCACAAAATCGTCAGGACAGGCGAGTCCTCGTCACATTGAGGGACGAGATAATCTCCAGACTCGACGGAGCAGGGACCAGCAAGGGTTCGACCGACTGCGGCAACCAATCCCGATTCCGAGCGTCGGTCGACACCCTCACAGAGTTGTAACGTTAATTACTTTCCTCGCAAAAGACTCAACTCACTTTTTCTGAGAGCTCGCAGAGCTTTGCGTATTTAAACTTTCCTGTACTGAACTCGCGATTCCTCAAAAGTAACAGATGATTGTTTATTTTTCGTCGTAGATTAGAAATACGTGAGCTATTCTTTATTTAATGACTCGTTACGTACGTTGTACGTACTAAGAAATATTTCTTTGTCGATCCGTTTTTCAGTTAATCTGAAAGAGCGAAGAGAGGGTCTCATACTTTCTCCTGTTTCTGTGCAATTGTATTGCATGATCGTGTTAGAGTTTCCTTTTGTACGACGTTCGATTCGATTTCGACTCGAACAAAGAGTTTAATATATATATTATACACTTTTCCACATATTATAATATATATATATATATAAAGTATAAATATATATGTATAAATACCCTGTATTATATCACGCGTATGAGAAGTCGGTTTTTAGTGTCGTTGTAATTTAAACGAGAAATTATTTAATTGTTTTTCTTTCTGTTTATCTCAGTATTTTTTAACGCCACCGTAAAAGAGAACTCTCGATATTCCAGCGTTTTACGTTAATAACACGCCGTTTCTTATCACGCGAAGATCTCGCTGACTATTTATGATGCACTGCGCTTGCCAAGCATTTAATACATATTTTTTTTTTTTTAATCTTATTACGATTCGATCGTGTTTGGAGATAGAGGAAAGACCTGCAGCGAACTTGCACGGGCTTTACGATTTAGTACGTTCATTTGTCTCTGTTGGAGCACGAAGGTTCGAAATAAACGAACTTTTCAGTGAAAACGTCCTGTTTCTTCTTTTCCACTATGCGATTACAGTTTTTCAGATGAAACGTGAAAGGAGCTGGGAATTCATTCAACTTTACTCGCATTTATTGTTTCAGATGATCGACGCTTGCCCTATAAATTAGGAGGGCGTCGACCAAGGTACGTTGTCCCTTAAGTGTACATAGATTCATTAAAGAGAACTCGTAAGTGCGTAACGAATACGATTCACTCTTGCGAAAGCGAAGTAACCAAGAATGAAAATTGAAGAACAAGCACCGTTTAATTAAAATTTTAACAAAGGTTGCGAAGTTAAATAGATTTTTTTTTATGGTAACAAAGGACAATCGCTTTCACAGGCGTGCTCTTGCAAAATATCAAGTCTTAAGTTAATTTCCTGTAATCGTAATTAGGTACAAAGTGATTCAATAAGAATTATTATGTAAAGTAATATTATTAAGAACAATTGAAAAAATGAATTAATAAAAGAATGAGTTTTATCAAATACAAAAATCATATGAAACTTCTAATGAAACGAAAGAATATTCATTCACTGATTCTTATCGAGTCACCTTGTATGTTGTCAAGATTTAGTGCCAAGAATTATGGATTTTGGTCTCGATCTTTTTAAGTACACTTTCGAATCGATTACGCGTCTAATATCATAAGAACGATCAAAAATATCACGAAGTTCGAACGATCACATCGACGACTCCCCGTATACTCCGATTTATTATTCGAATATAACGGCGGATAGATAGAAGAGAATAAAGTCTACCCCGCAGTTTTACAATTATTATTTCCATCTTCACGAGACAATGACTAGCTTTGAAGATCCGTATTGCAATCTTTCGGTATTGCTCGCGATATTGAGAAAATGGCGTGTAAAAAAAGGTCGAAGCGGAGTTACTTACATACCTTGCGTTTAAGCTTTGTTGCTCGACGAGAAGATAAGCGTTATTTGTACTTGCATGCAACCCTGTCGAACTGGTTGTACAACACGACCAAAACGAAAGTAAACCAGAGTCGTTTCAAGCCAGAACCACCACCAATATTTTAACAATTGAATGAAATTATGGTTGAATATGAACGAACAGATGATTGCATAGACCTATTTCTTTCGTTCCCACGTGATTCTGGCTCGATCGTCAATTTAACTCATTCGAGTTACCCACACGATCCAAGCGATGCAACAAGTGCATTCTTGGCTTACGTAACTGGCCATCACCTGTCTCACTGTTAGATCGATTACTCGAGTAAACTGACGCGAAACGAAAAATAACGTTACGTTAAATATGGTAATTGGTAATAGAAGATTAATAACAAACGCGGTTTCTCTATCGTATAATTAATCAATACCAAAACTGATCAACTCCAGAAGAAAAATACTTCAAATAATTTCAATAAAAGAAATAAACCGAATTTTGTTTTACCAGATTTTTAGCAGACCGCGGATTTTTATGCGGATTCCAATTTTACATATCCTCAGACAATATTATGGAAGTTTTATTTAATGTAACTGTACTCTCTTTTTTGATACATAAAAATCCGCAGTTCAGCGTTAACGTCATCGTCGAGATCTACAGCAGCGAAAGACTGTACCAAGTCCACGTCCTGAGCCCACTGTCAGCTCCCCAAAATTCTTTTTATTTGAAAAATCTTCATTGAGGAGAACGGCGAACACGTCCGTCGGTCGTCGTTGTTCCCTCTCGTCGTCGATAGTCAACGGCGTTCGCCTGGCGAACGGCGGAGGAAAACGCGCGGCGACAGCGTGAACGAGGCAAGAACGCGACGCGACGTTTCGTGTGAAGTGCGTGGACGGGGACAACAGAGTGTCGAAGACATCACAGAAGCGCGCGGATCACAGGCTAATGAGCCTTGTTGTAGGTGTCCTTGTTCTGGTAGCCCTGCACGTAACCGGACTGGTCGGGCAGGTCCTTGCGGCCTGCGATACCTTTCCCTTTACCAGCCTCGTCGAATCGCTGCTTATGCGAGCCGGTGTACTTAGTTACGTCCGTCAACCTGTCCACCGTAGACGCCGCTTTACCCGCCTGCGAATTCAATTTATAAATTCATTTAATATGTTCATAAATTTTTATTCATGTTATGAATTTTAATGTTCATTATATGTCATTATAAATTCGTTCATGTAATAATAATTTATTACATGCATATACAGGGTGTTCGATTATTGGCGGGGGAAATTTTAATTTGTAATCGCTTAAACGCAATTTTTCTTATTCTCGATTTTTGTGTTATTTTTAAATTTTTCCAACCAGTACAAGTATTCCTGTTTTGCATGCACTGGGAATAACGAAGAGTTTCTTTACTGGGTATTCAAGAAATGTTATGCTAATTGCGTGATACGTAGGCGACGATTTAAGACTCACTGGAAGTTAAATTGCTAACGTTATAAATCGTCGAGTTGTCGATAGAAACAAGGTCGTGACGATAAACGGAAAAACTTTAGCCTCAGATTGATTTATGAAACGGGACAAGACGCGTGTGTATGTAGATATATCGATCGCGTTTTGTCAGCTATGAGTACATACTCCTGATCCGCCAACGGTGACTCCAGGTGGCCCACAATTAGCCATTTTCTTCTTCATCTCCGTCAGGTTGACCTTCTTGCTTTTGGCCAGCTCGTCCAGGAACGCTTTATATTGTTCGATCCCCAATTTCGTAGATCTACCAACGAAGTTGATACAATTTACAATATGAAAGTTGCACGTCGACGTCTCCTATTCATATAATTCTAACTCGCAGGACAGTAAATCAAAATTGTGAAATCAACGTGGAGTTCAATTCCTATTCGAAATTCTGTGCAGTATGATTCAAAAATCATTGTTGCAAGTTTATTCTACGCTATTTTCGAATAGTAGACTGCGAATTTTTCGTGCTAGCTAAACATTTTTGTTGCCAATTTAAAAAATGAAATCCAGAATGAGAATTCTTTTATCTTTCAAATAAATATCTGTTAAACATTTTCTGCAAATGTAATTTTTATATAAATGCATAAATCAGATTCATATTGCTTGCACACTCGAGTTAGGCTTGTGATGTACTCTCGTACGAGTATATCTGCAGGTATAACGTTTAGAGCATAAGAAAGTACTTGTGCTTTTTGAAGTAAATCCCTGTATCAGTAGTGGTGACTTTCCTTCCGTCGATTACTCTCGCTTGTTTCATCCACTTGTCGCTCTGGCTCAACGTGATCAGCTTTCCGTCGCTTTTCGGGTCGCCGAATTTCGAGAACGCCTTGAAGCTCGCCAGGAAGCTCCCAGGTTGCGCGGCGCTGGGGCTATTGGGCGTCGAACTCCCGGTGTCATCTTCGAGCTTCAAATTCGCCACTTTATTAGCCGCAGCCTCCTCGTTCCCATCGGTTTTTGCTCCGTTCTTCTCGACCTGAGCCTCCTCCTTCTTTTCCGCCTGAGCGTCGTTTTTCTCGGCCTCGTTGTCGGTCTTCTCGGCTTGCATGCTTGCCCTGAAAATTTCGCAAACCGAACGATGAACAAGTGAAAGCGTTGCGAAGGCATCGCATGATTGAAAGTGACAGGGTCAAGTTTGAAGAAGGTGTGAAGGTGTTGAACGTGTCTACTCTACACGCTATTAAATAGACGCGTCGACGACGTTTTGAGGTCAAGTAACGCGAGCTATCGATTTAACATAATTCCCGTAGGTGGATTGAAATCGACACTTGTGTGTTAATCACCGATCGAACGATCATTCAATCGACGCTGATTACCAGCGATTACGTAAACGCTTCATCTTGGGCAAATATAATCTTACAGTCCATATCAGTAGAGCGTTCTAAGAAGTTCTTTAATTAACGAATGGTAAGAAGTTGAATAAAGGAAAATCGATTGAACGTTGGGAACAGTACGACCCTTCTGGCTTGTTTACTATTCACAATTTAAGCTAGCGTTCTGGACGGAGGATTCCAGAATACAATAGAGCTCTGGTTCAATAGTGGAAAAATGTTCTTGCGCCGGTTCTCTTATTCTCTTCTCTATTAATGGAGTTTATAGATTTTGTGGTGAGAAGACGGAAAGCGAGCTTAGCTAATCGAACACCTAAATCTACCAAATCCAAGGGCTACGACTATTCTGTCAACGATTGAACTTGTAAATATGATCTCTCAGAATTACGTCAGGTGTTACGTTATACTCATACAGTCTGTCGTATTGGTTTTGTTAAAAATTTTCGTCGCAGGTGAATCCGCTCGTATAGACAGTCAGCAAACAACGGAAGGTCGTTGCGTTGTTATTTCATGACTAAAAATAGGCATTACGACGGACGTGTTAGCGCAATTAACGGAGAACAGGAAACGTAATGCGATTGAATAATACCGATCAGGTGGTGAACGACTGCGCCTCAGGCGAATATCTTTGCCACTGACCTCTGCCCCTGAGATTTCTCAATACCTGAAGGATGTCAACTTTAACTGTTTAAACATTCAATAAAATAGTAACACAACTTAGATTGTCATGTATAAATAATGGACAGTTCGAGAAATTCCATTTGACAATATTTTGTAATTTATTTGAAAATTTCTATGCCACTGACTTCTGCACTTGAGATTTATTAATACCTGAAGGATGTCAACTTGAACTCTCTACACATTAAATAAGATAGTAACACAATTTAGGTTGCCATGTATAAATATATAATGTTCGATTAACTCTTTTATATTTCGCAGTTCACTCTATACTTACTAATTATCCAGAGTTACGAATTATTCAGAACTCACCGAATCGAGAGTACTCGTAGATTAAATGAAACGATGGATCAATTACACAGAACGGGTTTGAAGTACGAAGGCACGATTTAAATTACTGTCGCATATTGCTGAGCGATCTACTAGTGCCACGATCGCGATTATGAACGACGTATTCTATTTACGCCGTAGCGATAAGTGTAAATTATTGAAGATTTCTCGTTGATAAGCCAAGTGGTAACAGAAGGAAACGCAGAGTACTGGTTTGTGTATGAAAGCTGTTGAACGCGCGTTCCGGCGAGGAATCTGTGCCGTAGGGCGCATGTGTTATATCGATCCCGTTCAGCGCAGAGTCACCCTCTCAATATATCTTTGAAACTGCGTTTCACCCTTGGCTGCAGCCGAAATGAGAGCCGTCGGGGGTCCTCGCCGACTAACCCTCGTCCTACGATCAGCAGGAGTATTAAAATCACCTATACTAACATCTGCGCTTTAAACCGGGCCTCTGAAATGAACCGAAGGGGGATTCCATGCAGCCTGGCATCGGTTATAATTAAAGCTAATCAACGCTTCGTCCAATTTAGCTTCGGAAATAGTTTCGAAGTAGATAAATACGAATCTGGCATCGGTTTTAAAAAATTATTCAATTTGCATACGTTGAATATTAGAAGAAATCTATAGTTCGTTTAGTGCGTTCAGTCGACGAGAGAATTTCGCGTGTGCCGTCGTTATATTTGATAACAGAGCACGCAATGTACGAACGAAATAATGTCCTTATCTCCAGCCAGTGAGCACCTAGCGTTCGATTCGAGTCCGTTCTGTTATCATCGCACGAAACGCCTCTATTCGCTTTTATATTCGGTCGTTACGTCAACGATATTACGACGCGCGTCGAAATAGCCAAGTTTCGTCACTAGTCTTAGGGAAACTGGACGAGCAAATGAAGCCTGCATCGATGAATACAACGGACATTGACACTTCTTCATCGTGACATGACGTGAATTGCGATATTTTTAAACTTCCTCTCACGAACAGATGAAGTCGATATACATAGACGTTCGATTATTATAATAATCACCTTTTCAGTTAATTATCAACACGCACTTATTGACTTTATACTCCCTGTCGCGCACTGTGTTATTGATTTTTCGAGTTGGTCGAGTCGAACGCGAGATCTCTAGCGTATTTTGAAAACGCTCATCACCGCGATTCCAGCCCGGATGAGACTGACCGAGTGAGAAGGAAACTGAACCACCGCTACCACCGCCCGCTAACATCATCCCCACCCACAACAGCTGAACACCTTCAGCTATGCTCGCAGCTCTAGCTATCACCTACTTTCTTCACCCACCTACGAAAATCGTTACTATTTTTCAACTTCAATTCCTCTTTTTATTATCAGTCGTTCGTTTACTCAACACGTAGTATGTACAATCGTAATCTACGTTACGTGAATGTAGTTACACGTTTAAGATCTTTTATGCAATCACATTGTGACAATAAAATAATTTTAGCAGTTTTATTATTATAAATTTCGTGCCAGCTGCTAGATGCCCGAGACGCTATTAATCATAGGCGAAAAGCTTTGAAAGCTCTGCTGTATACAATATGTACAGACGAAATCGACTTCCGAGGACATCCCTGACCTCGTTTTGACGAATGTTCACAAAGTCTGGGATTGACTTTTCCACGTCCAAGTAGTATGAGTCAACGGTTCGTCATACAAGTCAGGTACGAGACAACTTTGTACGCGTGAATATTTGATCGAGTAATAATAACACATCGTTAGCTCGTTTCATGAGTCGATTCCTCAAAGAGAACTATACCATATTCTTTGAAAGAAAAAATTGCAAGTGAGAGAGCGATGATTAATCTGCCAGCATCGACACAAAGAACACTCGGTTAATTAAGATAATTTGATTGCAGTTTATGCAGTCATGATCTTAAAATAAATATGTCATATAATAATGAGGTCCCAAGTGGAACTGCGTATTCGAGTCTGAAGTCGTTTTCGTATCGAAAGACTTGTTGCACGATGAATATAAACGACTTCGCTTGTTGCATGCTGCATTCGATGAAACAAACGCGAGTCCGTTCAATTCATGGCTTCAGGGCTAAAGTATGAGCGTGGATGACAATACACTGGGGTCTTCCCTTTTCTTTCAAGTTTCATAAGCGAGTTCAGTGGAGTAGAGATAAAAGAATGTACATACCTACGTGCGATGTAATATTCCATTTTAATTATAATTAATTAATAGT